GTTGTAATCACTATAAAAAATTAAAAACTTAATGTAACATTTTATAGTAGTATGAAACTAATATTTGATGATCTAAAGTCATTCAATTATAAAGTCCCTGTTGCAAGTAGATGTCTTTATTTTTTGATTTTTTTATATTCAAATTTATATTCATTGCTCTAAATCCAATTGATTTGATGCAACAATCTTGTATCTTATGACCTATGTTTATATTATATAAATATAAATTTTTACAATAGCTTTTTTATTTTTTTTTTGGATGTCAATTGCTTGAATTGAGTTGTATTGATTTGCATAGGCTTTAGTCTTAATAAACAAGTTTTTAAAGACTTGGGAGTTGCTATGACTTGATTTTTTCTTCTTTAATCGAATCTTTGTTTTTAGCACCTTTAGAAGAATTAAATTGTCAAATTCAATGGTTTGAATAAAAAATTATTCTAATTTTTAAATTTATTTTCTAATAATAAGTATTTTGATATAGTATTTTGATACTATATCAAAATTAATTAATAAGGATTTTATTATTCTAATCCACATTATAAGCAAGTTTTGGAATTAGAGAGCATAGATGACAATTGATTGTCGTTCTTTTTATAAAGATTGGAGTTTTATTTTTGCTATCTTTTTCTAATTGCTATCTTTAAATATAGCTAGAAAACTTCAAAGAATAAAGTTAGATTATACAAGAGTTGTGATTTATTTTCTATCAAAGATGCAAATTAATAGAAAGCACCTCCAAATAAGAGTATGTTTATAATTCTAATTTAAGTGAATTCATTATAATATTAAAAAGAATATGACCTTAAATAGACCTTAATTAGTTATAAAAATCTTTAAAATTTTGATCTTATTTTATCAACTTTTTTGACATATTAATCTTTGTGTCTTTTATACTTATAATAGTAAGACTTTTTAGATTTACTTATGAGGTTGATCTACTTGCTTCTTGGCATAGACATTGAGTCTCATTGTTGAATTCTTTTGTATGTATAGACATAGTACTTTCATAGTTGATATTAATAATATATAAAGTTTTTGTTCTAAGAGTATTAAAAAAATTGTAGAACTTTGTAATAATCACACATCTATTTTCACTTCCACAAAGTATAGTATCCATAATAACCTTTATTTATATTTCTATAATAGAAAACTTTAATAAATTTATAAGTCAAATTAGAAGAAGGTAATCCAGAAGCTCTAATATTAAATAAAAATTTCTAGAAAGAAGAATACTTCAATTTTTTTTAAAAGAATCAATTTTAAAAAAATAAAAAAATGTTAGTTTAAAGGTGAATAGTCTATAACTTTTAAAGTATATTAATAAAAAGTGGAATCATCTACTTAATATATATATATATATATATATATATATATATATAACAAATTAGGACTTCTATTACAATACAAAAGATATGAGTCATATTAAAATTCTGAAAATAAAAATATATTCTATAATTTTTAGTTTTATATTTCCAAATTAATAAAGTAGTTCTTAGATAAATTACTAGTAGATTTTTTGATAAATATAGAATATTGAATAAATTTTTATAATTAAATTAATAATTATAACTAAATATCTTATAAAGTCAATAGAAATCTAATTTAAAATATATTCTAATTGGAAGATGTCATCAACCATGAGAGATTGGAAATTACAAATATGATTTTATTATAATAATAAAAAATTACTTTGTATTTGGATCTATATTTAAGCTAGTAGAAAGTTTATGTTAATATCAAAAAAGACAATAATGTAGCCAATTGATTCATGTTTCTAATTTTTTTAATCAATTTTTTTAATTGCTAAAAATTACAAGATTAAAAACAAGTGGCCATTCAATTAGCATTGTATTGTCATTAAGTTATTATCTTTGAATTAATTAATATTGTTAAGATTATTAAAAGACTAGATTATTCTTGAATTATTTATTAAGTGAATTCTAATTGATATGGTGGAATAATTTAAGTATGTTGCAAAGAAGAATTAAGTTTGTAATTATGCTCAAATGATCAGTTGATGTGAAGTATTTCTATAAAGTATAAATCAAATAAACTGCTATCAATGATTAGAAGAACAAGAATAATATTTGATGTTAGAATCTAATATTGATAGCTTATTAATTAGATCTACTAATTGTTTGAAGAGATCAATTGAATTAAAAAAATTATAAAAACTAATTATATTTCTTATTCAATTAATCATTGTTTTATTTTATTAATTAATTTAAATTTAATAAATAAGCAAAGAAGTATTGAATACAAAAGAATAAAATTATTTTAATACAATTAAAATAAATTGACATTAGTTGCAAAATCTTGACTACTTACAATACATTATTAGACTAAAACAATTGGTAAATGCTAACATTCATATTGACGTTTTTTTTAGTAGTCTAATTCTTTGTATTAAAATCTATAAGAATATTAGCTAAATCTAATTAATAGAAGAAACCAAACTCAACATATTTTTGTATCACTAAAAGAGAGAAAAAAAACAACTAAAATATAGATATAGAATTGAACTAAAATGGCTATTGCCAAATGCCAAAATACTAGGAAGTCTTGAATTAAGATAGAATACAAAAAAAGCATAAATAAGATTGAAAAAGGCCTCACTCTTACTTCCATATATACTATCTACTAAAGAACTATGTAATGACATGTGTCTAATTTATAGAAATAGTTTCTAATATATGCACCACATAGCTAACTTGTAATGTAATATGAGTAGCTAAATGGAACCAACTTATTAACGAAGTTGTCAATCTATCAATTCCATGTAAACACATGCAAAGTCTACAGACTTCTAAAAAACTTTCCAACAAGATATCAACAATTTAATCTACTTTTATTTATTTTTATTTAGTTCTATTTATCTAAGCAAATATATTTATAAATGTGATTATCCATTACATTAGCCTTGTAAGTAATATTCATAAAGATATAATTATAACTATACTTAATCTTCTCAATACATTACTTGAATTATTATTTTTCTTGGTTTTTTTTAATATCTTAATAATAATCATGTTAATGTTATTATTAATATTATTATTATTCTTAATGCTATTGTTGTTGTTGTTTTTTTTATTTTTTGTTATGTTTTTTTTTTTTTTTTTTTTTTTTTTTTTGTCACAAAAATAAGATGTATCCTATGCATTAATAGAGCAAAAAATGTACAAGAAACTACTTAACTCCTTATATTCAAGAATATAGATAAGTATATTACAAAAATAGAGTAAATATTAATACAAACTTATTTATACTTTTGTATATGATCACACCACATTGAGGTATTCTAGAATTTCATTTAATTATTTTGTTACTTCTATAATCAAATATGTCGTTAGTCATCTAAGATTTATTCTTTCTCTTGAATAAGAAAGACTTATATTACAACTATTTTGCTAAAAGAAAATTCTTTAAAAAATAAAAAAAATAAAAATAAAAATCTAACAAATATATCTATATTTCATGAGACTTTGCCAAACTTTGCTTTTGGTATGGATTAAATTCTATACTTTATTTTTAAAGAAAAACTTTTTACTTTAAATCTAAATAGACTATAATGAAAGTATCATTAATAAGATTTTACAAAAATATTTGAAACTAGATGAAGGAGTTTTTGCAAAGATAGCTCATTGTTAAGTGAAGGATTTTTAAAGACTTCAATTCCAAGAATTGCAAATTAATTTGCATAAGAAAAAAGTGGCCCAATCTTAAATGTGTTGGATTTGATGAAAATCTCAAAACTATTAGAGAATAGATTTAGGCAGTTTGAGTTGACACATAGCATAACGAATATCAATATTGGGAATTATTTTGCCCCTCTGAATATTAACTACAACACCTTTGTGCCATATAAGCTAAATAAACATAGCCTCTTTATTGGAACATGGATTGAATTAAGTGTCTTTCCAATTAATAGAAAGTCTCTACTAAAGAAGAGACTTCTTTATTGTGATATTAAATGAGTAATATACTTACCAATTTGCTCAACACATATAACTGATTGTTAATTTATTTTATATGAAATATATTAAACTCTTCATATTTTTCTTTAACTTTTGGTTTTTGGTTTTTGGTTTTTTTTTTTCCAATCTTTTTGGGGAATTTTGAGAATGTATTAAATGATTCAATTATTTAAAAGTAACATCCAATAACTCCATATAAAGACAAGATTTATTTTATGTAATAAAATATTGTCATCATGCATTCTCCAAAAAACAGTGTATAGATTAATAAGTTCAATAAATTATTGTTCAGCCATAAAAGAATTTTAACAGCTAATGTAAATCTTGTCATAGATAAATCAAAATACCAGAATATCATTGTTAATGTTGTGAAAATTCGATATGTAATTGGATAAATTTTTAATAATATTTAAATTTATGATTTTTCCAAAAATTTAGAAAATTTTCAAAAAAATCACATTATAGTTGAAAAATATTTTTAAAAGCACAAATAATAATATTTCAAAAAAATCAACCAATCACATATGAGTTGGACTTCAATAAACTAGGGAATTAAGAAAGATTAATAATCATTCTTCATGTGTTGGAATTTAACAAATGAAGGAATTTCAAGGACAGATATCAATTATTTTATAAAAATAGTTACATACATGTATATATCGTTACAATATTCCAATTAAATTTCAATCATCTTTTCTGCCTACTTAGATTCACAAGCTCCTACATACACTTTCACCATCCATCCAACCAACTCTTACACTTGCTACAACCTTACATTAGTTCTCTATTTTTTTTTAAAAAAAAAAAAAAAACCCCCAAGGTCATTGTCAAGAGGCCACATACTAATTTTGGCCAAATCAGGGGAACGCTGACTGCGCACGGTGATAGGAGACAAACGACATGCGGGCGGTAATAAAGGAACGATGTCATGGGAACGAACCAGTGGTTTGTCAGGATGGCTGCACAGCCCCATCCAAGGGAAGCAGAGGAGAGCCAATGAGGACAATCCTACGTGGACCAGTCGGATAAGGCTGTGAGCTTCATCGTATGCTTCCCCGCCTCGGTGATCAGGCTCTCTCGCTCTCTCTCGCCATTTCGGAGGCTTGGAGCTCAATTTCCTGTTGCTGCTCCGTTTCGAGCCCTGCTTCTCGCCCTTCGTCTCCGCACTGTCACACCCCCCAGGTCCTTGCCTTTGCTTTTTCATTCTGCTTTACTTCTGAAGCTTCTTCGCTTCGCAATTGTTCCTGTTGTCCCACAGTGCTGGTAGTTCAAAACACTTTGAAGTATTCGGTTTCCTGTTGAGGTGCTCCTTAGAGTGTTAGGGTTTCTGGAAGGACGGTGGAATTGCAACGGGTCGGTTGACGTGCAGGTTAGGATTTGAGTCTAGGGGGAGGAATGGTAGGTGTGATGATGGCAGCCGCTGCGACTCCCGGATGTGGAGTGTCGCAGGCCTTGACTGCTTGCGGTAGCCACGAAGGCTTGCGACGCGTAGCCCCGGTGTTTGGCCCCGGCGTTGTGTCCGTTTCGGCGCCTTGTAAGTTGCCGAGGAAGTTAAACGTGCAGGCTGTTGCTGAGCCTATCGCGAAGAGCTCTCCGCGTACTATTGAAGAATGTGAGGCTAATGTGGTGGCTGGTAATGCTCCTGCCGCTCCTCCTGTTCCTGCCAAGCCCAGTGCACCTGAGGGCACACCCGCAATTTCTCCGTTGGTACGCGTCTGTGGAGTGGTTGCATTTTAGATTGAAGCACTGTTGATTTGAAGGTGGTGATAGCTTCTGATAGCTGATGAAATTAGCTTTGTCTTTTGATTGATTTCTGTGGAAATTTGTTTTAGAAACTATAAGAGAATGATTCGAAATTAGGATATTGCAATCTATCCCATTTACTAGTTAACATAAACCCAGTATACCTCAATTCCTTGTTATTCTTTGTTATTTAGAATGGTGTCAGATTATGCATAAGATCGGCGGCAACAATATGTCATTAGGTTAATTCAAAAGAGAAGAGAATGATAGTGAATGAGTTCTCGAGCGTGACCCTGACAGTAAGAAATTTATCACGGCTGCAGGTAATGCCCGCTAGGCCACGAAGAAACCGCAGATCTCCAGCTCTCCGCGCTGCTTTTCAAGAGACTACGATCTCTCCTGCAAATTTCATCCTCCCATTATTTGTTCACGAAGGTGTGTCCTCTAGGGTGTCTCATTGCTGTTGATCAGTTAATCACAAAATTTAACCACGACCTTCCCTTCCAGTTTGATTGACTTTGTTTTCGAACTTACCTGATACCACCTCTGCACCAGTAATGAGTCCCTGTCTTATTCGTGATGGAATCTTTTCCCTTCCCTGCTTGTATTTAATAATATACTCCTGGTTCCTTTTAGCATTCCATTCTAATTGCTTTCGCAAGTTTTCCGCATTCAACAGTTATCTGCATTTTGTGGCATCAGGGGAACAGAATGCACCGATCGGCGCTATGCCGGGTTGCCAGCGTCTCGGATGGCGTCATGGGCTTATTGATGAGGTATACCTTGATTTCGTCTTTCAAACGCACTAGTTGCTTATCCACTGAAGCCAGTTTTCATGTGTCCTTACATACAGCCTTGTTGTACAGTTCGTGGCAATGTCTGGTGGATCTTGGCTCCGGTACTGATTTAGGTCACAACATTCTTCTGATGTCGGTAAACATGCATTTTCGCTGCCAGGTGTACAAGGCAAGAGATGTTGGTGTCAACAGTGTTGTTCTTTTTCCCAAAGTCCCTGATGCTCTGAAGGTAAGTCTGACAGTAATTTATTTTTTCTCCAATCTGAAGATAACTCGTGTGTAAGATGAAATGATGAATTCGCTGCAATTGAGTATCGTAATTTTATCCAGTAAAAAAAATCTAAGTATTGTTGGTTTTTCGCATTTTCGCGCACTAATTATTTCATTCCTAAGAGGTGTGTATCATGTTTAGACCAACCAAGAGTAATACGAAGTGTGACACAACTTTTATTTTTTTTCTAGAAACTTTCTGAAATTTTTGCAAGTGTTTCTGAGCTGATTCTTACATACCTGCAGTCTTCAACTGGAGATGAGGCTTACAATCCTGATGGGCTGGTGCCACGGTGCATTCGCTTACTCAAAGACAAATTCCCTGACCTGGTAATTTTGCTTAACAATTCGTTTCTCAGTGTGGTCCTTGTCAGTAATTCTGGTTTCTTGGGTCTTCTTTTAAAAACGAATTAAAACATGTCCGTACGAGGTATTATATGCTGACTTTGTGTCCTTGTACTGTCCGTGAAATTTAGACTACTTGTGATTATTAAGGGTACCCTAGTGTTTACTTTCGTGTCTTGCTGGGGGATTTGGATTTGATTCAACAAACCAGTCACGCCTTTTTAACACCTGCATTTTGTTAAAAGAATAACTGAATGTTTCGAGATTTAGACTTTCTGAGTGGTGTTCACAGAATGTTTCTGAATAACTTATGGTCAAATCCTTTCAGGTGATTTACACAGACGTCGCGCTGGACCCTTACTCTTCGGACGGTCACGATGGCATAGTTCGAGAAGATGGTATCTATCGTCTGATTCTGACATCATCGTGTTCTGTAGTAATAGTTGACCAAGATTTCACCTGTGTATTTTGCTAGACTCTGGTCACTTGCACTGATCATTTTCGCTTACCTTTAATTGAAACATCTGAGTCTTGTTAGCATTACACTCATTTTCCATAATTACTGACAAGGACCACACTGCTGCATTTCGATCCTACTATGAACAGCAGCCAGTCAAGGGTTTAGTGATTCCTGATGTTCGTTATTGAATGTCACAACTAGGTTCTTTCACTTCTTTATACCATGCCTGCGGATAAGCTTGGCTGAAACCAACGCTCTTCAATGTCACGTTTACGGCTTCAACTCGCTCTCCTCATTGAGATATTTTGGTGCAGGTTTGATCATGAATGACGAGACAGTACATCAGCTTTGCAAGCAGGCCGTAGCTCAGGTACGGGTTTCGTGAAGAAGATTACTTCATTAGCTCTTAATACCCTTTTCCTGATGATCTCAATTCTCGTCAAGTAGAGACACATCAAGGACCCAACAGGTCGTTAAGGTGCTCGTTTCGAATGTTACCTGGATTAGATGTGATGAAATTGACTTGACTGCAGGCTCAAGCTGGAGCAGATGTTGTTAGCCCTAGTGACATGATGGATGGGCGTGTTGGTGCCATCCGAAAAGCTCTTGATCTAGCTGGTCATCAAGATGTTTCTATCATGGCTTATACAGCCAAGTAATGCTCTTGCCTTGTCGCCTCATGTTCTGTACTCTTTTCTTTTGGTTTGAGAACTTATTTTGAAAATTCCTGAATCACTTGCCTGGGAATTGGAAAATCATGAGATTACGTTGGTCTTGAGTGGAATTTCCAGCTCTTATGCTATTCATAAGCCATACTTTGTGAAGATCCTGGCATAGTGGTGAATATTGATGTTATGTTTCTGGCTGTGCAGATACGCTAGTGCCTTTTACGGCCCTTTCAGAGAAGCACTAGACTCCAACCCTCGCTTCGGTGACAAAAAGACGTGAGTTTAAGTACAATTTGTTGTCTACTTTTGTGTTCGACCAAATAAACAAGAATTGAATGGACTACGCGGTCTGTCACGGCGTGCTCACCTGTGAAGTTGTGTTCAGGTATCAAATGAACCCCGCGAACTACCGGGAGGCTCTTATTGAAACAAGAATGGACGAAGCTGAAGGTGCTGACATTCTCATGGTATGTGTCATTTGCTTGTCACCTCAACTAAGTCTTTTGAGTGTCTTGTTCAATTGGCATATATCAGTGCGTAAGTCATGTGGGTTATACTTTCTGTGGTTGTTTTCTCGGATGTGTTGTCTTGCTTTCTTACACCGGGTTCCTCCATTTTTTATGTACAGGTTAAGCCAGCCATGCCCTACCTAGACGTCATCAGGCTTTTGCGCGACAACACTGCACTACCCATCTCAGCTTATCAGGTACATATCAAATTATTACGTGAGTGGGGTTCGTTCTCATCCTGGTTCATCGAGCATTCCACTCTGTTCTTTTGGACATTCAGATGTGGGATACTGCGAAGAAGACAGTGACTAATGTCCGATACCTTGGATGCCTTGCCAGGTCTCAGGAGAGTACTCCATGATTAGAGCAGCCGCTGCCGCGGGCATGCTTGACGAGAAGAAAGCTGTACTGGAGTCACTGCTATCTATCAGACGAGCAGGTGCCGATGTCATTCTCACTTACTTTGCCATTCAAGCTGCTCAATGGCTCTGTGCTGAGCGGGTTTAAGAATTTATAGCACCCTTTTGAAAGGTGGCGGGTTTCTAAAGGTTGTTATACTAAAAGGTATGGCTGGAGGTCCTGAGGGCTCTATGCCACCCTCGGAGCGGCCTGCTCCAGCCCATCAAGGAAGTTAAAGTCGGTAGGAAGATTTCTCGGGCTTAGTCTAGTTCGAAACCAACGTGAGTCACTGATGTGACATCTAGCGTTGTTCCATGCAGCTTTTCCCTTTGAAAGTTGGCTTGAGAGGTACAAGATCAAGTTCAGATTGTAATGATACCAGTAATACATATCTTTGAAATGAAAGAATTCTCTTAATGTCATTCAGCTGGTTGTGATTGTTCTGAATCGATGTTTTGTGGAGTATATGGCTGTTGATGCAAGAAATAGAGGCACAACATTTGACAATACAGTAATGGGACTCACCTTGACAATTTGGTGTCCAATGTCTTCGCTATCCACCTTGAGCTTGAAGTTGGACTCCTCAGTTCCTTGTCTGTATGTGAGCAGGCTTGGCATATCGGACACATAGTTACACAATGAAGCATGAGAATCTTTTGACGTGAGTAGGATTTATCAAGTTTGAGCGACAGAAAATACATAAAATAAATTAGAGAAAAATGAAAGGGACTTTGTTTCAATATTTTTCAAAAGTGATAAGTGGCAATTGTAAAATTTGGTAAATTATTGGGCATAAGAGTAGAAGAATGCATGCATGGAAAAAAATTATTTGGAAAAAGTGACATGGACTAATGACATGGTGAATAGAGATGGTGTTGATACTTCATAAAGCAAGAAAGGAACAATGATTTTGTGTATCTTCATTAATCAAGTCCTCAATTAATATTTTTCTAATATTTTTGTAATATTTTAATCATGTTCCTCTCTCACCAAGATGTCATTTTTGGTAAATTTCATGCTAGCTCCACTTATTCACCTATTTTGACACCTCCTATTAACTTAGTTACAAAATGAATAGAGACTCTATAAATTGGCATCAAATATAGATGGTATGCTTCAAAGAATGCAAAAGCAATCTTTGAAATATATAATAAAATTATGTAACAAATATCAATCATATATACATGGATACCAAATTTATTAATCATATTTTAAAAAATATTAAAAACATTCTACTTGTAAATTTTCATATATTTTATTGTATAAATATATGCAATCAAAATTTCTATTAAAACCACATACATGTATACAATAAAAACACACTATATATAGGGGAATGATAAAGCAATCCAAATTTTTACTAAAGCGACCCCTTCTATCTTAAGCATCATTGCACCTTGGAGCCCCCATCCATGTTCCCAACCATTCTCCATTCTCAACCATTGCTAAATACAAGGGGGGAGAGGGGGGAGGCAATAGGGAACAAGATAATAGAACATGTGGGTTGATTTAGTAAAAATTTGGGTTGCTTTATTGTTCCCCTATATATATATATATATAAATGTATAGATATATAAATACAATAGAAACAAGTTGATAAAATCCATGTTAATTTTTTTTGAACAAAGACACAAATCAATTAGTACCCCAAATCAAGACTATCTAGTAAATTTTTTTTTTTAAATTACACATAATAATAATCTTAATAATTTATCGACATAAGAAGATAGAGAGAGAATAAGATTAAATACATTATTTCCATTTGACATATAAATATTCAATTGTGATTGCAATAGTTGGATGCATTTGAGTTAACAAATATTTTGCATTTCATTCACAACTTTTCCAAAATAATTATTATCATAACTATAGTTTATGTTATTATGATGAAAAATTCATCATTACATTACATCTAAAAGTTTTTATTCTACTAAAAATCATTCATTACATCTGCATGTGTCAAAACAGAAGTTCTAAACAAAACTATTTCATCTTTTTGAAAAAGTTTTCATCAGTAAGATTCTAAACAGCAATTAAAACATAATTTAAGTTAACACCAATTGAAACATAATTTAAGTAACAATTGATGAAATACAAAGACAGTTGTGAAAAAAATATAATGTACAATTCAAACGACTGTTGTATTTCATTGGCCTTCAATTTCAATTATTTCCTAGAAGCGATGTTATTTAATCATTGATTCAACTTGTACTACAAATCATCATTTTCTTGTAGCATTCAACTTCGTGGTCTACTACATCCATACATAAAATTGCTTTAAGACATCCTGAAGCCTAACATGCATTGAAGAGAAGCTCTTTCCGACACCCACACGAGTGAGGTGGGTCTAGAATTAGAAATGGTGGATCAGCAGAATTGAAGCCTGAAAATTAACCCTTCGTACCTGTAAGACGGCATTTGCATTTGCAACGCTATCTGCGATTATGGATGCAGGGTTTCCCAGAGGCCCTGTAATCTTCTACGTCTGAATTTACGTAGATCTCCATTTATCTGTGGGCGGGTTTCCAAGAGGGTTAACGAATCTACATCTCAAAACGTTCTGCGACAGCATCGTACCGAGGAACTTGGACAACATCACCCCAGGAAGCCATCGTAAGTGGGCTGGAGATAATCTTGCGAGAAACTTCAGCGATATCTTCCAAGGTCACGGCTTGGATACGTTGAATGAACTTTGCCACAGGCTTGCGCTGCCCATAGGTCAAAATTTGACTGCCAATATCTTCCGTAATAACAACTCGGGACTCTAGGTTCATCAGAGTTGATGAAATAGCGCTGTTCTTTGCACGATGCAATTCAGCTTCAGTCACCTCTCCGGGAGTTGCAACCTGATTGATTTCTTGACACATGATATCCACGAGATAGGGAATGTAGTCACCAGAAGAAGTAGCATGGATACCGACAAGGCCAGTGTCTCTGTAGATACTATTAAAGGCTGTGCAAGAATGCACCTGTTCCCGCCTGTTCAGAACCTGAAATGACGAAAGTGCCCACATGAGGTTCCTTCGGCAAACATTCAAACCAGTCAAGTTCATAAAATGAAGGCTTATGTAGATGCCGTAATCATGCCCTATTATACCCTCTCATCAATTATTAGCTTCCAATATAATGGTACAAGGACTTCACAATGTGGTGGATCTTACCCGCGTGTACAGTCGAGAGAACATTCCCTTTCCAGGACCACCAGCAGAGAAAGACGCTCCTCCTCCTAGAAGAGATTGCAAAACCGTCACAGCACACGAATCCTTCTCATTTCTCCATCCCCCTGGGACTTCGAATGCAATAGCAACATGCGTCAGGGAGGAGTCAACGGATTGCCGCCAGTCACCGCCCACATATTGTGTCTCCACAGGGATAGGCTCGTTAACTGAGGGGAGGTCGGCCAACAGAGGCTCTGCCAGAGAAAGAAGATCTTCATGTTCCACACCCGAGGCTGCAAAAATAGAAGAGGTTACTAACTGAAAAAAATGATTGGGGACACTGGAAGCCCTCAAACTGAACCAATACACTAATAAGAAAAGGTTAATCCCAAATGGCACAAGGTTGGAAGTACATACCAACCGAGCACTACGCATTTTCCAGCACAAAAAGTAAAAAGAAATAAAATCAGCAACAAGTTCTCTTAATTCCCAGGGTTCAGAGCTAACTCAGATGATACGGAAGAAACAGTAGATTTCAAAAGCCAGTAAAAGTAATACTAAACTACAAAACCCCCACTAGAATTGTACTAAACATGCATAACATGAGACTTGTTACTAATCGTGTTGGACATGCACATGTGATGATTTGAACAAACTCTACAATCCTTGGTTGCTAGATCCGCGAAGAAGCATAAATCACATCTTGACCCACCACAACATCAATCTCGTCATTCGCAAGCTTAATAGGACATTCATTCAGTGAGACACATGCATAGCATCCGCATACAAAACTCCCACCATGGCATTCTCACATATTACAATTGCAACTCAGAGCAGCAGCGAATTCTCGACATAATTGATCACTTCCTGAATTATGAGTCCAAGAAAACTCAAATTCAACGGTGAAGACTAGTGGAATCTCAGCAGGCCTTGAAACTATCAAATGGGCAGGAGATTTTACTGGATAGGGAACCTTCGTACCTGCCAGAACGATTCTAGGTGCAGTATAATTCTCCTTCACAAAGTCATGAAGAACACCACCGTTTAGCCGTCTCAAGGACGACTCAGGTGCAGTGAGAGGTTGACCTAAGCCTCCCACGAATCCAGCTGAGTGAAGAGCCTCCATAATCGCGCTGTGCGGATGACTCATAATCCCCGCAGTCTCAGCTTTCAACTTAGCAAGCTGCTCTTGAACCTCCCATTCGTTAAACAGAGGATTTCTCACAGAGTCGACCAAAATTTCAACCATCTCCGGCAAAAAAGTCTTGATCGCATCTGCCGAGTAGCACATCTGCTCCTGGGCAGAAGTAGACATAAGATTCGCCCCGATGGCTTCCACTTCGCGAATGAGGCGGAAGTGCGATCGGTTGACGGTGCTCTTGAAGGCCATCCGCTCCAGCAAATGCGAGGCGCCCGTGCAGAATGGCGTCTCGTTCTTCGACCCAGAGTCGATGTGAATAGCCACCGTAGCTGTGGGTCCAGGGACATTCTCCGACGCGATTCTCAACCCATTGGCTAGGGTTGTGACCTTGGTATCGCTGGGCTTGATATCTTCAGGCAAGGCAGGAGGCAGATGCACGCCTTGCAGCGGCTCATACAATGCAGGCACAGGAGTAGTAGAGCGTTCGCCGAGGAACCACGAAAGGACACCTCCGGAGCTCGAGGCCTGTGCGGATTCTGTTCTCGGCACAGCCTGATGCCATGCGCTCGTGCGAAACTGCTGCTGCGTTTGCCGCTGCGCCAGCAGCTTCGCGAGGCGCGCCTTCCTCAATGCCGATCCCCTCATCTCTGCCCCCACTCCCACTCCCCCTCCCCCTTTCCCTCGCGTGCCCAGAATCCGACTCGCAAACTGTGGCAACAATCGCAACAAACGCAACCTCGACGCCCACGCTCACGAGAGCGCTGCGCGGCGCTGTGTTCCGACACCGCGCCGGAGTCCGGTAGGAAGGAAGAGAGGGCCAGTCTCAGGGATGCATTCCGGGTCCATAATGCCCGCACTACCCGTCGCGTAATGCCCCTCTTCAGGCTATACCATTCCGCCCCAGAATCGCCCTTCCCGGTTTACTCTTGTTGGAAGTGAGCTGAACACAAAAAATTATGGGAGTTGCTAAAGCCTCACTCCCCTTGGATTCTCATTATTAATTCAATCTATTCCCCCTCCCTGTCTCCAATCCCCCCCCCCCCCCAATCTCCTGTTTTTAATCCATGTCTTCTATTACAACCCTCCATCTCTGTTTCCTATCTCCCTTTTCTAGCCCATGTCCCATGTCCCCACTCTCCCTCCCTTGTCTTTGTTTCTATTCCTTATCATTTTGAATGGTAATAGTAACCTTGGACATAGATTTTATTTTATTTTATATTTTATTGTTTTGTGACTAAAATATTGTTGATGTTATATTGTAATCTTCTAATTGCAATTAAAATATAATATATCTTTTTTAGAAATAAAAAATTGTTAAATTACTTGATTGTGTTTTGTGTACTTGTGGAGTCTAGAAAATTTCAATGTAAATTTAAAATATATACGTCTTTTAAAATAGACATCATACATAAAATCTATGGCTAAAGGTTTTGGGATTTAGGGTTGATTTTCCAAGTAAGAAACATGAATTGCTTTGAAAGTTGTATATCATTTTTTATAAAATAAGAATGAGAATAGGGATTAGGAATGGGAAATGAGGGAGTCAAGATGGGGGACATGGGTTGGGAACACAAAACTAGAGATATGGAATGTGAATGGATGGTAAAGACAAGAGACAAAGAATGGAGACCAGAGACATGAAACAAAGAACGGAGACTAGAGACATGAGACAAAGAATGGAGACTAGAGACATGAAACAAAGAACGGAGACTAGAGACATGAAACAAAGAATGGAGACTAGAGACATGAAACAAAGAATGGAGACTAGAAACATGAGACAAAGAATAGATTGAATAAATCATGAGAATCTAAAGATATGTTATTTTAACAACATGTAGGTGTTGCTTAAGAAATTCCCTAATTTAAGATTTCTTTTTAAATAGAATATTTTACTTGTGTGTTTATAATTAAGTCATTAGAAAATTGGTTTTAAAGTTAAAACTAATACTGATAAGTGTTTGACCTTATATGTTATTATTTTCACTAAATTTGTATTTTATATTATCAAAAAAAAATAATATGTTGTTAAAAATATTTCACTAATATTAATTTTTTTAAAACTCGATATTTAAATTTATAAAAAACATAAATACAAATGACTTATATATATATATATATATATATATATGTGTGTGTGTGTGTGTATGTGTGTGTGTGTGTCTGTGCCAAAAATTCATGATTTTTAAATATATAAAAATTAAAAAGATTTAAAATATATATATATATAATAAACATGCCATTAATTTATAACAAATTTCTGTTAAAACTTCCAAAAACAAAAAAAACAAATATATATATATATATATATATATATATTGTAGCTACATACAATTTTATATATCTGTATTTTTAAAATAATTTTTATTTATTAATAAATAAATTAGAAGTTATAAACTATATTACTTTTTTACTCATGTGTTTGTATACTCTATTTAAAATGTAATACATTTCTATAAATATTTTTATTTTTTTCTTAAATTTGAATTTAAAAGTATGCAATGATAATTTATAATTTTAAAATAATTTTTATAATATAGTTTATATTGAATCAAATATTATCTAAATTATTGATAATAATGATGATAATAAAATATTTGTATAAACATAGAATCTTAAATCTTCAAAAAAAGAATAACTATTTAAGAACCTTTATAGGCTTTGGATAAAAATATTAGTTTATATGCCTTGTTTAATGTTTTTAATAACTTTGAGTAAACTCTAATTTACAACAAGTTAAATTTTTTTTTCAAAAATTAATCAATTTAAAAATAAATAATAAAATTTAAACTCATATTTTAATTATGTAAGCTACTGGCCTTACGAATAGTAGAAGGTACACTCACTCTTGTGGTAAATAAATCTAGTTATGTCTAAGCATAGCTATTTAGTCATTTTTTCATGTTTCAATATAGTTTTTTGTCATATCTTAATATAATCTTTTTTTAGTTATTATCAATTTTAATTCTGTGCTCATAAATATGTATTTTTATTGTTATATTAAGTTGTTCTTCAAAATTTAAAACATTGATCACAAATCTAATTTTTTTATCAATTTTTTTTCTAAATAAAAATCTAATATTTATGCCAGTATTTACTAATAATTTGTTTGACATCAAAATACACAATGTACACACACAATCCACTGAAATTTTCAAAACGTTTTTATTAAAATTCTCAATTTCGGATTCTTGCAAAAAAAAAAAAAAAAAAAAAAAAAAAGTGTATAGTAAATATTTCCTCGATGCTCAATCTGATATGAGCATGGTCCTCATCAATAGAGCCCTAAATAGTAGACAAGAGAATGACTTGATCATGAAACTAAAAACCAGTGCATTGGGGAGGTTAATGCAGGCACCAGCTAAAACAATGCCCGAAAGTAGACGCTGTTAGGCAAGTTGGAATTCGTCATCAGCAAGGGTAGCTTGTTCACGTCAATCGGTAAATGAAAGTTGGGGTGCCAACCTTATTTCAAAGCTCTGAGTTATCCTGAAAACATCACAATTGAAACATTCATTTCTTTCTTGCAAGCAAAATCAGAACTCGGCAAGCTTCGAGGTTGGTTTCATCAATTCATTTGAAGCTACTGTAAGCGACAATGCAGCAAAGCAGGAATTTAGCTATAATTCTTGGTCCAATTTGGTTTCTCTCTACCATTCGTTATTTTAAGACGGATTTTAATCTTATTTCCTCAAAAGTGTGTTCTGAAATTTATTGAAAACCAGCTCCTGAATATAACCAGTTCCATCCAATATGTAGAGTCAGGGGTGTTGTGGTCCTGGTTTAATGCAGGCCTGTGGCGCGTTTTGATGAGGAAAATGGCAAAACTCCATTTTTACGTAGAGCATCGACATATCATTCTAAAATTCTTAGCCTTACATATACCTAGCAAAGACATAGTTCACAAGCCAAAATCGAGATTCCAGAGTGATGTGTATGAAAATCACGTAATGAACCGCAGAAATTGCGATCACATGCGGCATCAACACAATTGTTGCATGTTCAGGAATAATTAAAGAAATAAATAATCTGAACAAACACGTTGAAATAGGGAGTACATGGATGGTCCATCAATTCGGTTCGTGAAGGATGTAAAAGCATTTAGCAAATGCTAAACCCGCCACTTTACCTGCTAGTGTTGAGAACCGACTCGGCTTCTTAATTCTTCTTGTTACATAATCAAAGACCTTCTCAACAACTCATGGCTCATGCTTCTTTGGCACCTACTGGGTAACGTGTGTCATCGTGATCGAAATTGAATACCCAATTTAGTACCTGAAACAATGCTTCTTGAAATGCATTCTATTATGGATTAGACCTAAACCGCACAAAAATACAATCACAGAATCTGCGGTCCAAACTGTTCACTCGACGCTGTGATGCAAGAACCGAGGCTACCGAAACCTCGCTGCACCTCTCAAACCTCAGATCAACATGCTCTCCAGCCATAACCAGGACACTGTTCAAAATCGCTTCAACTCAAGCGTCACCAAATTCTGCATGAACACTAGTGTAAGAACTCAACGTAACTAATCGTGCTGGGAATGCCTTGTCCATCGACAAAAACTCATCCATCAAGTCCTTGATAATTACTCTGCCAAACAAGTCCATCAACCCCTCGCTAACAACGAAGAAAAAGACCAGATCCTGCAACTTAAACCATTATAACTCCCGCGCGCATGTTCCTCACTCCACCAGCGGTCCCAAGATCTCCCGTCTGTCAGTTACAAGCGCATTTTCATTGATTACAAACATCAGGTTCATTCCCTCGAGCGCAAGCCAAGCAACAGTCACTCCACGAGCACTGGTAATCTGCTGCGCTTTATTAACTGCTGCCAGTTCTCCCAACCGAACAACCGAATCCGAAGACGAAATCATGTTTCGGAGGAACTGGCAGAACGCCGCAGGAAGCGAAAGCATGAGGCTGCGCAGACACTGAGGTGCCTGGCCTAGCCCCGCCCGTCCCTCCGGAGCCCTTCCGACCATGTGTCGGCCGGTAGCTAATGAACAGAATTCAACTGTTCGTTTTCGCGCTCATGGACTGACTAACAAGTCTAAGTGCCGTTCTGTTGACTCGGAACGGATGATGAATTCTGAAGTGGTTGACGCGAATCGTCATCCATGGATGAACTGTTCATTTAGTGAAAGCTGTGAAACAGAACACCATCGAGCCAACTGTGTACATGAAACATCGTTGGTAAGAATTCGTGAATTTATAAGTAAGATCTTTAATAGGAATTACGGCATCTTCTTTTTTAGAAATTATTTGTAGTTGGATATATACCAGCTAACTTTTGGATCACTGTATTGAATAGCATTGTGCTTTTGCTCTCTACATTGTGCTCCTGTCCAATCACTTGTTGAAGTTCATAATTTTTTTAGGTTATCTCTCTCTCTCTCTCTCTCTATATATATATATATATATATATATATATACACATATACATTTCATGAAAATATTTATAAATAATCCTATTATATTTTTATTGCAAATAAAAGGCACTATTAGAGTAGAAAAAATATATATATTTAAAAGATTTAAAGTAAAAAAATTATAATGTTAAACTTTTTTATTATTATTATCAACTATTGATTTTTTTTTTTTTTTTTTTTTTTTTTTTTAGATTTAGATTTAGATACATGTGTAGATATGTGTATTTTGAAATATTTTTTTCTTAATAGGTTTAGTATTTCAAAGAGAGTATGAATTCATTGTTTTACATGTTTTTGAATTGTGAGTTTTATTTGGGTATCACAGTGACATCCAATAAAAATAATTAAAAATCATGTACATTCAATGTAAATATTAGTAATTAAAAATAATATATATATATATATATATAATTTTAGCTCCAGTATGGGATGCA